ACGTGTATCCGCTGCTTACTATAAGTTTGTCGCGAATATATCGTTGTACGCGTATAATATAATGCCATATTTAGATATACTCGTAACCTTATTGTATGTTAGAAATATTAAATTGTGATTATGTTTAATTTAAAACCTGTCTATTTATCAGAAACGATCAACACCTATTGGCTTACACGTGTACTCTCCACTCGATTTAAAAGCACTCCTAGCCATCCCCCGACCAGAAGCTGGTAGGAAGGGCCCGAGCTAACCTCACGACCCCCTCAGTTTTCACAATAATAAATTATTTTAAATTTATATAAAGATGCTTAACTTACAAATAATCAGAAAAAATTGTATATCAAATTTTATAATTAAATATGAATTAATGTTGGTCATCATATTTATAAGGTTGTAGATGAAAATAGCTCCAAATTTTGTGGGATCAAGTAAAAAAGACTTTGTGGAGTCTTCTGAAGATACTGAGGCTGCTTAAGCATAGGTTCCCATGATAATGTACAGGTTAATCCTCATTATGCTGGCTATGGCTGTAAAACATCCCAATATGAACAAAATCATCAAATTATAAATCTAGGAATGACTTTGAAATGCTGTTGCATCTCTTTTGACTAGACAATACATAATAGGGTTTCTCATTTCCCAGTCTCTTGCTTGTCCCGGGATTTTGGGAAAAAAGTGAACTGTTTCCTGGGATCTTGGTATCTAATTAATTACTTTTAAGATAAAAAATATCTTGATACGGAATGATATATTTATTTTTTAATTTTAAAAGTAATTTAATACACACTGCAACCTCCAAAATCATAATGTTAATAATGCTCTGTAAAATATATATGAAAATTACCTTTGAATTATGTAGAAATTTTCACAAATAGAAAAAATTTATTAAAGTTTGTTGGAAACTGCTTACAAAAAAAGCCTTTGAATTGAGTTAAAAATTTAAAGAAAAAGTGAATTTACATCAAACTTCTAAGTCAGAAGATAATTTTCATTTTTTAAATAAAACATAATCTAAATATATATAACTCAAAGGTGACTGACGTAGTGATCTATCAACGCACAGCCCAAACCACTGGACGGATCGGGCTGAAATTTGGCATGCAGGTAGATGTTATGACGTAGGCATCCGCTAAGAAAGGATTTTGATGAATTCTACCCCCAAGGGGATAAAATAGGGGATGAAAGTTTGTATGAAACTTTGTCAATTTTAAATCGATCGGGCTGAGACTTTGCATGCATAAAGCTACTATGACGTAGGCATCCCCTAAGAAAGGATTTTGATAAATTCCACCCCTAAGGGGATAAAATAGGGGATGAACGAATAAATTAAGACGAACAAAATAATTTTTAGTTCTAAATGTTGACAATAGATGGCGTTAGTAGTATTTTAAAACGCGCTATCGTTGTTTTCACTGAGTTACATATACCCGATGATGAGTGGCCGCCGTATCTAATAGTACATACTATACCTAAATATTTCTAGCGGATTATATTTGATGATTTTGGCTGTTCTTTTCGTGGCATATTTTGGATTGCATTTGCTTTGTTTCGGTTTAGTAGTTTTGGTTATAGACTCTGCTTTGTATTTGGCATTTGTTTTGTTTTGTGTTTGATTAATAATAATACTTCTTAACGCGAGCGATGCCGCGGGCAAAAGCTAGTACAAAATATTATTGTAAAATTTTATAAGAGTTTGAAAAGCAAAGATGGTCAATACTCCGATCACTCAATCTGGTTATTATTTTAATAAAGAAAAGTCCCGCTAATTACTAAGCCCTTTCCAATTCAATGGGTGCGAGTAGAATCTTCTTTAATGCATTTAAGAGAAGACAAATGTGTTTTTTCATCCATACCCTCAAAGATTTCTAGTTTGTTTTCGAGATGCATTGCAGTACTTCTTTTGCTCTCAAGTATTGTTGATTTGTCTACCTCGGCTGCTTTAAAAGTGATATCAAGCTTATAACCCAACAACTCGGTAGTTTGTTTGATGTTAATAATCAGTTTTATGAAAAAAATATTCATATTTGCAGAATTTGTACTCAACTCTATCCTTGTTCAATTTGCACAATCTGACATAATGCAGTTATTCAAGCTACTGGGCATAACTAAGATTAAGTCAGCATTGGCACAATTATTCCAGATATTACAGGTTCTGACAAGTAAAGAATTTTCAGAGTCCTGCCACAAATACATATTGATTATTGACAATCTGTGAGATGTCATAACATGCAAACATTTAAAAAACTAATAAGCAGGCTTAAAATTAATAAATACAAATGTATTCGGACAGTTTATGGGTTAATTATACTTTCTATTTGCAAAATTTCCTCAACAAAATAAGAAAAAAGTGAATTTTTAAGAAATTTGTGGGATTTCCCGGGATGAGAAGAATTTCCCCGGTTAGGTTGTGTGGATGTTGGCATAGGAGATCGGTTTAAACTTTTTGACTTTTCGAATGCTTGTCTAGCGGTGGAATATTACAATTTATTAGCGTGAACTTGGAGTTGTTTCTTCGTTTCAATATTCTCGTTAAGGAACGTGACAGGACTTAATTTGGATATGATACGAAATGGGCCGGACCATGGGGGTGCTAATTTTCGTTTTACCCCTTGAGGTAGAACAACCTCGTTAAGGAAGACTCGATCGCCCACCTGATATGTAGGAATTTTATGAGTTCGGCGATGTATTTTTTGACGTTCTCTGGCTGCGGCTTCGGCGTATTCTTGTGCCAATTGATGGGCACTGGCCATTCAAAGGTGTAGTTCCGACAACAAGACAAAACGCCTGCATTAACACGACATTTTGCCGTTTGAATGTCACAAACCAATCATTTTCGTATCGCCATAATAAAGCAATTGAAAATCTCGAGGACAAGTTTTATCTAGATCTGCACAAATTTAAAGCATTTGTAAAAAATACTTTATTATAATTAATGGTTTTAATGTTTACTTACGCGTTTATATTTATATTTTGAATTGTCCTATGAGTTTTAGCTGGGTATGTTATCTAATTGTTGTACCGGAAAGAGGCACTTATTATCTACGAGACATCGCCTTATTCTCTTTTAAAAAGAAATTAATGACAAATTCATCAGTAAATTTTCGTCTCAAAGAGAATTATTTTTCAATAAGATTGAAGACGAAATCTGCCCAAAATCTTATGGGCAGATTTGGTCTTCAATCTTATTGAAAAATCACAATTTCATTAAACATCTTTAAATTCTTTGGAACAGTAAACAAATTAATGCATACCCAATGCATTTAGAATGCATGCATATTTTATATTCTATTATGAAATGATAGAATCATAAAATATGACCATATGAATTTTAAAATGCATAAAATGCATTTACTTGTTTACCATACTAACCACATAAATGCGGTACAGTTGGTAAAATCCATTAACTAGGAATGCATTCGTGATAAACATCGGCTTATAAGGCATGACAGAATTTAATTTCGTTCTTCTTAAAACAACTTTATACGCAGATAAAAGTATGGGTGATCAGAATTATTCTTACGTAACCTACAGTTAGGAGTACGTATCCCATTGTTTTATAGTTTAAGCCACTACAGCAAGATGAATGCGAATATCCAAGAGGAAATTTGCATGAGTTGTTTCTTGAGACCCTGTTGGACAACAGCCCTTATATTCGGTTTAGATCCGTACCGAATTTGTCCCTGNACAAAACACCTGCATTAACACGACTTTTTGCCGTTTCAGTGTACAAGCCAATCATTTTCGTATCGCCATAATAAAGCAATTGAAAATCTCGAGGACAAGTTTTATCTAGATCTGCACAAATTTAAAGCATTTGTAAAAAATACTTTATTATAATTAATGGTTTTAATGTTTACTTACGCGTTTATATTTATATTTTGAATTGTCCTATGAGTTTTAGCTGGGTATGTTATCTAATTGTTGTACCGGAAAGAGGCACTTATTATCTACGAGACATCGCCTTATTCTCTTTTAAAAAGAAATTAATGACAAATTCATCAGTAAATTTTCGTCTCAAAGAGAATTATTTTTCAATAAGATTGAAGACGAAATCTGCCCAAAATCTTTTGGGCAGATTTCGTTTTCAATCTTATTGAAAAATCACAATTTCATTAAACCTTCTTTAAATTCTTTGGCACAGTAAACAAATTAATGCATACCCAATGCATTTAAAATGCATGCATATTTTATATTCTATTATAAAATGATAGAACCATAAAATATGATTTATGCATTTTAAAATGCATAAAATGCATTTACTTGTTTACTATACAGTCCACGTAACTGCAGTACCATTCGTAAAATCCATTAACTAGGAATGCATTCGTGATAAACATCGGCTTATAAGGCATGACAGAATTTAATTTCGATCCGCTTGAAGCAACTTTATACACAGATAAAATTATGGTGATCAGAATTATTCTTACGTAACTTACAGTTAGGAGTACGTATCGCACTGTTTCATAGTTTAAGCCACTACTGCAAAATGAATTCGAATATCCAAGAGGAAATTTGCATGAGTTGTTTCTTGAGACCCTGTTGGACAACAGCCCTTATATTCGGTTTAGATCCGTACCGAATTTATCCCTGCAAACAGCGAATATACTGTCTTAAAAATCAAAAAGTAAAAAAACTCTATCTTCAATGTGTTCAGTTTCTATTATGGCAATTTTCTGCCCTTTTCTTATGGCAATCGTTACCAGGTTTAAACGAATATGCTTTGTGTCTTGGATGGTACGAAGTGTTTAAGAAGGATGCTGAAATAATAAAAACTTCATTTCTATTTATATTCTGCGGCTACTCTATTCTCCTGACCTTCACCAATCGCAATAAGCTCAATCTAATTACTAAATTGAAAAACAGATATTTCTATGAGAAATTCATTTTGGAAAATAATACTCTAATGAGAAACGTCTCCTTTTACGTTTCGTTCATTAAAATAACATTAACGATTCTATTTCAAATTTTCAATCTGACTGTTTATTATCCGACTCTAGTGAACAGAGAACAGTTTCGATTCGAAGCTCTCATATGTACAGTTGAAACGGCATTTGTAACGAGTTTAACTATAGGAGGAACTGCGCATGGTCTACTGTTAGCCGCTTTATTTATACTTGTCATCCAGAAAGAATACGAAGAACTTAAGTACGAAATGTCTACGATAAGAAGAAGAGACAGAAATTTGAAAATGAAATTACAAAATTTGATGATCCGCCACCAAGAATTGTGGATTTACATAAATCAGTTGAACACAAAATACGAATTGGCTTTCGTACTTGTTTATTTCGGAATAATTTGGGGCACGAGCTTTCTGTATTACGCATACTTGTACGTCGATATGCATTGGATTTTTAGAACTTTGGTGATGGCACTGATGATTGCTTGCTCATTCATCTGCATTATCTGTGGCTGTTTGCTATGCTGCATCGCTTTCACGGTACTAGCTATTTACACTTGAAGAATTCTTTTAATGTTTTAATCTTTAATTTAATTTTCGATTTATTAATATAGTTTTAATTATTTAGATGCGGAATGGGTTTCAAGACATTCGTCAATTTGCAATCTGCCATTTGGAACTGGAACGAAAGCTTAAAGTACAGATTTNACCACTCAATTAGAAAAATTCTACTAAAAAAGGAAACTTTATTCAATGTAGCAAAATAATGCAATGGACTTAGCTCCATAAATAGACCTTTCTCTTTGATTATTTTTTAAAAATTTATTTCCTATTTATTAATTTTAGTAATAGTTTTGGTAAGAGTTGCATTTATTACCTTACTAGAAAGAGCAGTACTAGGCTATATCCAGATTCAAAAGGGGCCCAATAAACTTGGCATTTTATGGTTGTTTCAGCCTTTCTCAGATGCTATTAAACTATTTATTAAAGAATTAGCTAATTTAGAAACCTATAATCTATACCACGTTTTTTTTTCATCTATTTTTGGGCTTTCTATAGCACTTATCTTATGAATACTATACCCCTCTTTATTTCATTTTATAGACTTAAAATGATGTATTCTTTTCTTTTTATGCTGTTGAAGTGTAAGTTTACTCAATTTTGGTTGCTGGTAAGGCTTCAAATTCTAAGTATGCTATTTTAGGAGCATATCGAGGGGTTGCTTAGACAATTAATCAGTTACGAGATCAACGAAAACATTAAAATCTGGTAACTTAATGAGTAAATAATGAATGATTGAATGTGACTAAATATAGTCCTTGGGCATAAACAATTACAACCGGCCAAAAGAATCGAACAGATCACTCCTGGAATAGTATGGTAACAGCCATAGTAACTGCTAGTACGAAACTGCCAGCATATACCGTAATCCTGGATTCCTCTTTGTGATATGACTTCTAAAGTTTTTACTTTGAATAAAAATTTGTATGTACATTTAAGAGATGTGTATCAAGTAAAGCTCCACATTTCATTATCTATTTATTTATCTAACCAAACGACCTTATGGCTATTGGCCTTTTTCAAGGGTAAAAAAAAGATATAAAAATATATAAAATAAATAATCAGCAAAACGATTAAAAAAACAGAAAAAATTATAAATATAAAAATACACACAACTAGTCACAATCATAATCTTATTCTGTCCACCAGTGTCTATTAACAGGACTTATTAAAATAACTTTAAGGATGCTGCAACTCAGTTTCATAGATTAGAAAATTGTTGTTTTATGTAATTTACCTGGACACATACGTGTTAATATTGCCTTTCCAATGTGTTCGTCCCTCAGCAGGTATTTGAATGACACATTCACTTCAGGGCTAATTCTTTATATTCCGATTTCCACCAAGCCATTAAAGTTAAACATTATTAACAGTAAGTTTTTAAACCAATCCACCTCCGATTGTTCTCCTTGACTTACACTTAAAGCCAGTTTAATAAGTACTGTTAATAGATACGTACTAGTGAACGAAATAAGATAATAATAAATTAAGGACATTGAGGCATATTAAAGCTCTCTTAATTCTCACAGGAAGGAAAGCGTTTTGAAAAAAGAAGTATACTATCCAATGTTATGTTGGTCAAAATGAATTAGGGAAGGGAAACTTCCATGTAATTGATAGGGGACAAGCCCTATTATTATTAGTTTTCGTTAGTGAGTATTACTAAAGGAATAAAATTATTCTAAATCTTATCATTAAGTTAAAATTCAAAGTTAAAACTAATTAGTAATCAAGTTTTTTATTAAATATATTAATAGTAAAAATACTGTTAGCATAAGTAGAAATAATCTAAATCAGGGGTGCCCAACCCGCGGCCCGCGGGCCGCATGCGGCCCAAGGCAAGTTCCAATGCGGCCCAGAGAAACAAAAAGGTTGGACACCCCTGATCTAAATAGATAAAATATCTGGCAAAAGTTAAGTAACTAGTCTAAAACTCTTGGTCTATTTATCAAAAACATATTTTTTAGGATTAATTAAAATGAGTCCTTTTCAATGTATTATAAATAGCCGCAGTATTTTGACTGTACAAAAGTAGCATAATAATTAGTCTTATAATTTAAGACTGGAATGAAAGGATGAACTAGAGAGTTTCTTTCTTAACTTTTTTTTTTTTAAATTTTACTGTTTAGTAAAAAGGCTAAAATGCTNTAATAATAAATTAAGGACATTGAGGCATATTAATTTAACTAGTCACAGCTCGATTTTTTTTCGCAGCCCGTTTAAATTGCCTGTAAATAGTCAAATCTTTGTATTCTTCTTTCAAACCATTTCAGTTATATATATCGATAAGTTGATGGATTTGTACGTCTCGGCCAAAACAGTGCTTAATGTTTGGTAGAATCAAATTATTTTTCCATCGATAGTTATAGTAAGAAGGCCTAAAGTATTTATTTAACTCTTCAGTTATATAAGATTCTTTCCTGCTCACTTTTATTTGCTTAAAGCTGTCTAGAAGAACTCGTTTTTTATATAAAACTTTTATTTTGGCAATTTTAGTCTGTTTATAATAAGAACTGACAGAAGAATTATATGGTAACTTGTATAATGCTCTAATAAAGTTGTTTTGTATGACTTGAAACCTATTTAATACAAAAGAAAAAGCTGTACCCCATACGGAAATAAAATAACGCAGTTTAGGTTCCATTAAAGCGCGATATAAACGCAAAACAGTCTCAAAATTTAAATAACTAATTATTCTTTTCAGTATTACAATAAATCTAGATAAATACAGTGTTAAAGTATTTATATGATTATTACATCGTAATTTATCAATTTCAATACCTAAATATTTTACAGTATTATTTCTATGAATACGTTCGCTATTAATTCTTACTTGTATAAATTTAATTTAAATTTGTAATTAGAAAATTAATTTTGTGGTCAAAGCTGCCCAAACCACTACTACTGACGCTTTCACATAACATTCCGACCTATTATTGCAAAGTTGTCAAATGAATATAGCTACAAACGGATTTTCGTCACAGTCGCCACCGTTCCTCTGGATAGAAGTCGTCAAACGGACATTTTTCGTACCACCTATTCGGATTAATTGTAACTGACTTTATTACGTGCCTCCTATTTGGATTAATTGCAACAAAGTTTATTAAGTGCCAAACAAAACTTGAATTAACGTCGTCGCCAGAACTTTGGATTAAGTCAAGAACCAGATTATCAATTATCAGCTATTCAAGAATCAACCAAACTCCAGGGTACGTTTTATTGGGGCGGTAAGAAGAAAAACTCTTTCAGAATATTAAAATAATGTTATTTTAATACCCAAAATTTTTGAAGCTTAAATAAGTTATTTTAAGGATAACATCGTAATGTATATTAAAAGCTCGAATTGACAAATATGTTTGCGACCTCGATGTTGGATTAGGTTTCCTCCACCCCGCAAGAGGGGTGGAAGGGGGTCTGCTCGACCTATAAAAATCTCCATAATCTGAGTTCAAATCGGCGTGATCCAGGTTGGTTTCTATCTAAAGAGTATCATTAAAGCAGTTAGTACGAAAGGACCACTCAATTAGAAAAATTCTANTTGTAACTGACTTTATTACGTGCCTCCTATTTGGATTAATTGCAACAAAGTTTATTAAGTGCCAAACAAAACTTGAATTAACGTCGTCGCCAGAACTTTGGATTAAGTCAAGAACCAGATTATCAATTATCAGCTATTCAAGAATCAACCAAACTCCAGGTACTTATCGCCACGCAAACTATTGTAAGCTCTCTCTCTCTCTCAAGAACGGTCTTAAATGACCGTTCTTATAGATTAGATAGTAAGGTTAAAATACCTTACTATCGAATCTATCGACATATTGTAAGATATGTATTTTTTAGCGTTACCCACTAAACTGTTGTTATGTTAATCTAGTCTCTGAAAGAATCACTTCCGGTGTGCTATCTCTCACTCCCTCCATCCAGAATCTAATCGCTCTGTTATGCAACCGCTCGCGTAACCTAGTTAGGTTTCCGTGTCAACCAAGACGCGGTGATGTCATCCTGACAAGGCATCGAGGAGGTGCCGACTCTTCGGTCACACTATTATGCTATTTATTGACAATAGTGTTTATGTGTATTATTTGCATGAAAAATCGTGATAGGTATGTTAGAACTTTAAAGACTTAATAACTAATAAAATAAAATAAAATCACCATTTTACTTGAATTACCGTTTTAAAGAGCAGTCTTGAAACGTATGTTTTACTGTTATTTACAAAATTAGTATGGATACCGATACAGATGATAAAGAAGCTTAAAGAATAACGAGTACAGGAGAAGTCGGTCAAGGACAAAGATCTCTGTAAACAGAGTGTAAACAAACACGAATTTCGAACGGATCTGTATCATATGTCTAATTATTCAGATATTTTCAGATATATTTTTAGATAAGTCACAATACTCTTTTGAAGATTAAAAAATATTGCGATACGATATATCAGAAAATGATATATTATCTCGATACCTTTAATCTCACAGTGTTATTTAAATACCACACAATCTCTCCTATCAATGCTGACAATGGGCGTTTATAATAAAGAAGTAAAGAAATAAAACGTTTTTATCAGTAATTTTACATTTCTCTTGGTAGGCAGTGGTAAATAAAGTCACACGACATTATCAGAAATATATTATTAAAGATAAACTAAAGTTTTTTTACTATATAAATATATTGCTTATCTGAATCGACATTTCTATTAATTTTAGTCAAGTATGGAAAGAACAGCTGAAGATTTCGATAAAATACCCAGAAACGTAGCACATCTCTATGTAAGATCATGTCTAGATTTCCACTTTTCAAACATAGAATGGTCCGACGACGATATTATGTTGGATATTGGATGTGGTCCAGGAAGAGTTACCAAAGACTTTCACTTACCAAAATGCCCAAAATTAAAGAAACTCGTTGCTATCGACGTAGATCCTAGTAGCATCGAGTATGCCGGAAAGACCTATTTTGCCGAAAAAATTGAATATAAAACACAAGATATTCTAAAAGGGTGAGTTACTATTAACATTAATTTTACAAAATCAACATGGCATTAAATGATTGCAACAATTTAATGCAGCATTTCTAAAGTTTCGATTATACACGAACATTCAATGAAGTTACGAATTTCTATGCAAACTAACTCTTCTTTTGGTTTTAGAAACTAATTTTTCTTATAAAAATTCAAAACGTTATTCAGTAGGGATTTGTATACCAACAACAATAAATTGCAGATTATAAGTTATAAAGAAAACATTGAAACATTTTTTTTTTGTAAAACAATTTAAATTATTTCGTAAATATTACAAAAACAAATCAGAAAAGTTAAAACAAATATCAAAAACTGAGGTTTCGGTGAGTTCGACATTATCAACTTTTCAATAACTGAAGAAAACAATAACTTTTTTACATAACTTACATATTATTATACAATGATTTATGTAAGATAGACATTCTTTATAAACTAATGAGGAATATTCTTAATGCAATGTAATTACTGTCGTAATTTAGCTTTAAAAGTCATATTTTTAAAATTATATAAGCAATGCCACACTGAAAATTATCCCAAATTAACAAACCTACGATGTAAAAAAATAATAATACGTCTAAAACTTTACATTGTTATGCTATTAGTAGACTAAAAGTTAATTATGTACAGTAATTCAAGAATGGTTTTCAATGTGTTAAAAAACACTACGTTTATAAGTTAAAAGTGTGAAAAAGGAAATATTATTACTAGTTTCAAAACTTTTTTTCAATTACTTCGTTTAAGAAATACGGCAAAGGCACTTACTCGATTGTCGCAGAACTATAATGACGCCATTAAGAAGTCCAACAATTTTCAGTTATAACAAGATATAAAATTTAAGCATTGACGATCTAAAAAAGTAATTTTATTAAATTATAAGAAAAATCTCTGTTGAAAAGTATTTGAATTTGAAAATAAAACTATGAACTAGCTCATAAACAAAATTGTTTTTTGTCAGTTATTATGAGATGTTATTTAAAAAATAATTTTCATATCTATTCATTATCATAAAAGTGCAAAAGACTTAATTTTGTGGGTACAAATGAATTTTATATGAAATTTGTAGATTGGAATAACTAATAATACCTTCATTAAGTCTGATTGACT